TCGATGAAATGTCGCAGATGTACACGGACACCATCGATGAAATGCCGCAGATGTACACGGACACCATCGATGAAATGTCGCAGATGTACACGGACACCATCGATGAAATGTCGCAGATGTACACGGACACCATCGATGAAATGTCGCAGATGTACACGGACACCATCGATGAAATGTCGCAGATGTACACGGACACCATCGAGGTCTATGTCAGAGATGGTTATGCCAAGAAGCTGATGGCTGACAGCGACACACCTGAGGACATCCAACTTAAGTGGTACCTGCCCCACCATGGCGTGGTGAATCTCAAGAAGCCCTGCGTGTCGACGACGAGTGAACGAGACCGAACGATAGCGAACAGTGTCCTTACCGCCGAACCGCGTGCAACGCGACTGGCGACACTGCGACGGTCGGTGACGCACCCGCTACTTTGAAGTGATGGACCTGGACGGCACGCTTCCCGCACCCGGTGGCTCCGGCAGTTCACCGACACCAACTGCAGCCGGCCTCCCCGCCGCCGGCGGGTCCCAGACCCCCGCAGCCCGGCAGGTGACCGCGCTCCGCCTGCCGCCATTCTCGGCCGAGGACGCGGAGCTCTGGTTGGCCCAGGTGGACTGCGCCCTGGGCGTCCCGGGGGTGGCGGACGACCTGGCCCGCTACCAGGTGCTGGCGTCGTAGCTGCCTACGGACATGGCGGCCCAAGTGCGAGATGTAATCACCAGCTCAGCACCCACATACGCGCTGCTGACATCTGCACTGCGCCAACGCTTGACGCACTCCAGGACTCGTTTGGCGTCTCGCCTGGAGGCGCTGCTGCGGAATCAGCAATTGGGAGACCAGCGCCCGTCCCAGCTCCTGAGACGGATGCATGGCGAGCTGTCAGCAGCCGGTGATGCCCCAGAGGACCAGGGCCTGCTGAGGACGCTTTTCCTCCAGCGCCTGCCCCAAATAGCCGCTGCTGCCCTCTCCACGCTGGACGACACGATGCCACTGGAGGACCTGGCCCGTGCGGCAGACCGCTTCATGGAAACATCAAGGCCCGTGTACCAGCCAGCCAGCCTGTCTGCCATCCAGCAGCCAGCACTGCTCACACCATCCGCACAAGCCCCAGTGACTGAGCTGTTGGCCGCTGTAACTAGCCGAATTGGAACCATCAGCGAACTACAGATGAAGGCCCATTCCATGCGTCAGAAGAGGGCCCACGGCTAGGACAGGTTAACCCTTCCCTGCAGCCGCTGCCGCAGCCAGAGTCGTGGACGACCCAGCTACCACCACCAGGAGAGGTCACCGCCCCGTCCGAGGGGTGAGGCCTGTTATTATCATGCACGGTTTGGCGCTCAAGCCAGGAAGTGCCAGGCCCTCTGCTCCTGGGCGGGAAACGACCTGGTCTGAGTGTACCTGCGCCCCAACTCTCAGACACCCCTCTCCTGGGGCGGCTGCTTCATGTCCGCGACGGTGACACCACCCACATGGTGGATGCTGGCGCGCAGGTCAGTGTCCTACCGACTTCGCACCTGCAACTTCACATGGCGGTTCTTGGTTCCTGATGTCCAGGCCGTGCCGATCCGCGACATGACCGCGGTCACCGTCCCTCAGACACCGTCCACTTCGTGGGCGTGTCGGGGGGGCTCTGTAAACGGCGTCACCTGTAGGCGGCGGCACCTCCGTAGGCGGCGCCACCGAAAATACGCCTGCCGCCGAATTCGCTAGATGTGACCGTGCCCTATGCAGTATCAGGTTCACTTGGAATTTGTCACGTCAACTCCGCCAGCTGTACCTACAGTCCTTTCCTTCCGTGTAAATTATTTCTTCACGCGGACAGAAATAGTTCCACCTCATAAAGACCTTTCGTTTGACGAATTGTTTCACAATATCTTATATATCTTTCGTCAGCGGCAACAGACAAGCCCTGCCAGCATCCGCTACCTCGCGCCGCGTCACGCGCATGCGACGGTCCAGCAGCTCGCTGCTCCAGTGACTGTTGAATAAACGTTTGCTGTTAAGATATTCGCTCAAGTGTTAGTGCCCATACGCACAACAATATCGAGAACTGACCTGACGTCAAACACGTCGAGAGCGCGAAGGGAAAATCTTACATGCAAATGCAGACAACTCAGATCTCAGAGCTTAATGGACCGATGACTGTGAAACCTTCACCACTGAATGCTCCATACCTGGTTCCTTATCACAGTTCCAGCTTTGGTGACCCTAGGTCAAGTTGAAAGTCCTCAAATTTTATTGCAGTTCCAACTTTGGTAACTCTGGATCAGGTCAAAAGTCGCCAAATTTAACAGCCCAAAATTCTTCCTTGCAGACAGCTTGTAGCTCAGAACCTACTAAACCGATTGTGGTATTGTAGCGCAGCGAATTACGACAGTGTTTTAACATGGTATTGTAGCGCAGCGAATCACGACAGTGTTTTAACATGTTCTGCTGCGCCGTTTGGAAATATCAAGAACTCACCAGTGTACTGCGACGCGCCAAGCCGCGTGCATGGCATTGTGCCTGAAAGGCTGCCCAGCCAATAAACTCACATCGTTTTGCACTGAGCATGTGTGCAGCAAGATTGACGATGAGGATATTAATTTTGATCTGTTATTTCCACGCTCAATTGCCCGCCATAAGTTTTAAATCCCGCCTGAAAAGGGATGGGATTGCCGACGATGGAATTGCCGCAGTTTGATGTGACGCACCCCGATAAGTGGCCTAAATGGCTCCGTCGACTGGAAAACATGTGTCTGGCGATGAGAGTAGAAGATCCTGCCCGGAAAAAAGCCTACTTGCTCCATCTTGCTGGCCCTGCAGTGTTTGATCTGCAAGAAACGCTGTCACAGCCTGTCGCGGGAGAGGCCGCAGATGTCTACAAAAAGATGTGCAGGCAGCTCGGGCCATATTTTGTTCCGCAGAAAAATATAGGCTTCGAGTGCGATGTGTTCCGCCAAACGATGCAAATGGAATGTGAGTCCACCAACGCACTTGTGGCTCGCCTCAGGCACCTCCCCAGTACTTGTGATTTCACCGATTCCGCCCGGGAAATCCGCCAGCAGATGATCATGGAAGTCAGAGATTCTAGGATGACGGAAAAGGCTCTGCAACAGAAAATGACACTCGAGGAATTGCGCTCGTTTGCAAGAGGCTTCAAGCAAGCCAGAGCCCAAGCCCGTGCCATTGAAGCACGCCATTCAAACAGATTTGCCGCGCCACAGGCAAATGTCCGGGCACAAAACATAGTGCAAAATGCATGCCACAACAAAGGTCAGCATGGTTTTACCAGAGTAAAACAGATGGACCAAGCACACAATCTGCAAGCTCAGCACGAAAGCCCACCTGACGAGTATCTCCTGAGGATCAACAAGTCTACACACAGGAGACAACAGCACGTGAAAACCGTCCAATCGAGACAACAGTGCAAGTGGATGGAAAACCAGTGCAGTGGGAAGTCGATACTGGTGCAGCAGTGTCAGTGAGGTCACTGATGAGTGATGCGGTGGGGACATTTCGCTCTTGTGTGGGCGAGCTGAGACGGGAAAGACAGTGGGTGGAGAGACAGTGACTGTGTGAAGAGACGTAATTGTGTGTGCAAAGGCAGTGAATACGAACATTTGAACATAGAACGGTGTTTACTACGGCAAAGAGAGACAAGAGCTGAGACTGGTTAGTGGACATTTCTAACCTCTATACTTCAGACAGTCAGATTATTGAAGCCGAAGACGGCGTGTTTAGGAAAGGCACATGCTTTCATCGCATGGTCGGCGCATCATGTTTGTTTGAAACAATCAAGTTCACGCGTTGCATTCTCCTGTGTATAAATTGCGTATGAGCGGAAAAGGATAGCTGGTGAAAGTGACAACCCGTTGGTGTAACCGCATGACCCGAATATTTTTGAAACCTTCTGGCTGACCTGTATTTCGGCTCTGTGACGACTGCGTTGAAGGAAGCCACTGTGTAGGAAAACGGGTACAACCACTACATTAACACGCTGTGTTTTCTTTTCGGCCGGTAATTTTCGGTGATATCGAGTTCCCCGTCCTTTGACCCAGCTTTTGACCTTGAAGGTCACATGATATTGCAAAGTAAGGGTCATTTTTTGTGTTTTCATGCCACAATTGACCTTGAAACCATTTTTCAGGGAAATCGGAACTCGTCGCTGGAAAAAAATCGCTGGATAAATCGCTTACTTCACGGACATACAGCTGATCTGGTTCCGCCGCCTGCTCGTCCGGTACGCAACCGGCGCCCGCCAGAGCGCCTGGACTTAAAGTATGTACCGTTAAGCTAGTTTTTGCCAAGAAGGGGGAGTTGTGATATTGTAGCGCAGCGAATTACGGCAGTGTTTTAACATGTTCCGCTGCGTCGTTTGGAAATATAAAGAACCCGCGGGTGGATTGCGACTCGTCAAGCGATGTGCGTCGCGTTGCGCATGAAAACATGCCCAGCCAATAAACTCCCATCGTTCTGCACTGAGCGTGTTTCCAACACCGATCACTGCCAAACTTTCTGCCAGATTCCCTATTGCCTAATGAAACGCTCAGCATGACACAATTTGAAGTGGTGGCGTGGTGGTGATTTGGTTTTTAAGGGCGCGTCGGCATCGGGGCCATTTTGCGCCCACTCGATGACGGTTATCTACCTCTGCGGCGACGCGATAAGTGTGTCGTCAACTAATAACAGGTAGTATCACTGGCGCACTTACACTGAGGGGTGAGTGAAAATAGCGTCAAAGTCAATGTGTGCTAAAAATGCGAGTATATCTCCAAGTTCAGCACATGGGTCTCGACCAAGTAACCGATGAAAGGGCGCTGGAGGGAAAATCGTCGCCTCTCCGTCTCAAGGCACCGGCATGAGACGAGGACATGTTCTACAGGCGACCGGTCCCCGCATCTATCACACCGTGGCACATCCCTACGCGTCAAGTAAAACGAGTGTGTTGCATATGTATGACCCAACCGAAGCCTACAAACACAACTTGAAGGCTTTGCACAGATAAAGAAGCTACTCACCGTCTAGCTCTGCTTCCCATGCATGCGGAGAATCCGCCCAACACACCACCATGGCGTCTGACACGGCCATGACGGCACCATAAGGCACCTCATCGCACAGCGCCGAAGATTTGTCTGGGCGGGACACGACCCACGCGGACGTTCTCTCTCACTCACGAGGCAGACGCGCTGGCGGTAAGCAGGAGACAGCTGTTCCATTTGTGCGGCGCGCATAACCTGCCAGCTGTTGATGACGTCGCTGATTACCTAACTTGGCGGATTAAGCACCCTCTTGGCATAATTTGAGGGCGCTGGTATACAAAATGCACAACAATTAAATTAAAAAGCATCAGACACGTTGCAGTTTGCTGCCTTACTGCCTGCAACTCCCACCTCGGTAACTCCTGGTCCAGCCGTCCCGCACTGTCGCGTTCAGCAGTTCCAGTAAGGTTATCCCTTTTTGTTCCGAAGTATCCTTGTCTCCTCGTGTGCCGTCCATTCCACTTGGGTGTTCTCTGTCCAGTTCTAACCTGAGATTTCCTCATTTTGTGGGTCTCAGCTCAGCCAGGTCTAGAACGACAGCCGGCGTTTTTCCACCCGGTAAACGCTCGTCTCGACTTCGATCTCCGTCCGCCCATGCTTAGGCCGCAACCTTCGCTTTACTGTCCGAGAACTGCGTCACACCCGCTTAAGCACTTCAGGAAGCCCATCGCTTGAAGATGCAACGCTTTGAAAATAAGCTTAAGTTCCCAAGTTATTACGGCAACGTAATGAATTTCATACAATTGAGGGTGAAGGAAGCTGATAGGCTTATCCGTGACGTCATCAACAGCTGGCGGGGGTTTGCACCGCCCACGTCTCCTCAAGAAGACGGCCCCATTTACCGATATAGCAAGCCCACGGTTCTTATACGCAGAGGAAATCCGTCGTGTTTTCGCATGTGTAAAAACCTTCAAGCAATCGACGTGTACTTGGAGAGCTTCTTTTAAATATAATCCTTTTGAAAATAAATATTTATTGCCCCTGGTTTGTCTCCTTGACAGGTAAGACCCAGCTTCAGTGTTTTGGCCATGTAGTCAAAATTCATACGTGCTAGGCCGGTTTCGGACATAATGGACTTTTGGTATTATTACTGTCAATGAGGTCAAAGAGATGCTCTGTAAGACCATCTCTTTGACTGTAAATGCTTTTGCACAGTTGCAGCTATTTTAAGCCATTGGGCACATTATTACACTACCCAACAAGTCTAAACTTTGTTGGTACTGTCACAGAACTGTCCTGGCCCACCCAGTGTTTGTTCAGTCAGGTGCCATGGAAAGCAGGATAAAATTGTGCCACCTGCATTCCACCTCGAGTGCCATGCCTCACATTGTTTCATTGGCTGCTGATCTGTTGCCTTTTGATCCAAATCTGTCCTGATGCATCAGTTGGAGCTTCCCCCTTTGGTTCTTTCACCCTGGGTTGTGTGAGTGGGAGTTGCTTTCAGTGTTTCCTGTCTGCATGACTGGGACGACCTGTGGCCATTGGCATTGGCTGTGTCATAGGTCAGGTGACCCTGCTCTTCAGATCTGGTGGTGGGAGTCATCACTCACATAAGCTGTGCTTAGTGTAGGTTCTGATTCCAGGGACCCACTCATTAAAAATGTTCTATTTGTTTGTAAACTGCTATGTCATGATCTGCATATTTAGTTTGTCAAATTGAGGCACCAAGTCTGGGTGGACCATAGTCGGGCTGACTGGCTAAACTGGAGCAAGGGAAGCAGCATCTAGTAGTGAACTCAGGGCTAGGATGCAACAACATGAAAAATATAAATGTCCTACCACCCAAGTGGCTGAATTGCTCTTCAGGTACACTGGTCCCAGCAACTTGTGATTGTGTCGGACCATGTTTTGCTATGACACCACAATGACCATCAAGTGCAGTCGGTTCACATCTTGCTATGAGTGCTTCATGCTGGTTTGGGGCAATTATATCATGGTATCACATGGCATATTGACATCTCAGTCAAGACTTCCTGTTCCCTGGAGTAACCTTACCTGTGGAATTCTGGGGTAGTGGGGTCAGGGAGCCTTTGGGGAATCTATGCTCAACAGGAACAAGGATCTGAAAGCCACACAGGCAAAGCCCCTGGTCTCCTCTATTTTGTAACAGTCATGATCATGATCATGTAATAGCCATCATCACCATCATCACCACCATTATCTCCCTGCAGACTCGCCTGCTCGCCAGGCCAGGGCCGGGCCCATGTTCGTGCTGGCGAAGCTGCAGGACGTGGTGCGCATCCCACCCTGGCTCTTCGACAAAAGCCTGAACGAGGCGATCGCTGAGGAGCTGAACCGCAAGCTGGCCAACCGCGTGCTCTACTCGGTCGGGCTCTGTATCGCCCTGCACGACGTCCTCTCGCTGGAGGAGTCGTTCATCCTGCCTGGCGACGGCGCCTCCCACACCAAGACCGTCTTCCGCTACACCGTGTTCCGGCCGTACGTGGACGAGGTGCTGACGGGCCGCATCAAGAGCTGCAGCAACGACGGCGTGCAAGGTGCGGCGCCCTGGGCACGCCCGGCGCTGGAGGGGGCACGTGTCGGGATGGGCAGTGGAACTCCTGTGGCGCTGCTATATGCTGTGTGTTGATTGGGGGGGGGCTGTTCTCAACTGAAGTGAACGTGGTGTCAGATGAGTTATGCTGTAAGTGAACTGTTAAGTTATGAACTGAAAAGTTATGCTGTACAGGAACTGATGTGCGTAGTTGTAAAACTGCAATTGTAAAATTGGTTCAATAAGATGGACAGAGAGCTATGATCATTATCACATCTGACATCCCACTGTGCTGCTTTCATGTTTGTTCTTGGCCTGCACAGTGCGGTGTGACGAGAGATGGTCGATATTCTTTGTGCAAGAAGTATGAGTTCCACCATATAGGTATTCAACGTTCCCACGTACCAGGCATTTGCTTGTCCCACAGTCCGAGGGCGCACTGACCTTATGCCTTCGTTCGTACGTCGTTGGTTACATCTTAATGTGCTCCAGCTGTGTTTAAGCCAACCCCTATCCTTCTGAACTTGTGGCCTCTTGTCCTCTGATATTATAACCCTCAGTCGCTGTTGTCATCATCTTCTTACCCACTGACCTGTTGACCCTCGGAGCGCCAGATCTCCGATATTTTGATCTCTGATCCCTGATGCGCGGCCCTTTCGCCATCTGACGCTGTGACGTTTTGACTCTCGCCCACCCCCTGACCTCTGACCTCTGATGACGCCTGACCTCGTGACCTGTGACCTCGATGACACGATGTGACCTGTGACCTCGTGACGTGACCTCGGCCGGCAGTGAGCCTCGGCTTCTTCGACGACATCGTGATCCCGCCGACGTCACTGCAGCAGCCGGCGCGGTTCGACGAGGCCGAGCAGGTCTGGGTGTGGGAGTACGACAACGGCAAGCACAGCCTCTTCATGGACCCCGGTTAGTCGCCACCGTCGCCGGTCTGCTCGGGCCGGCCGGCCGATGGGGTGTGGTGTGTGCATCGCATTCGACGCCCATCCACATAAATTTGCGGTTTAAGGCGTAGTGGAGAACGTACGAATCGTGTCATCCTGCTAAACGTCGTTTGACAGTTACAGGCATAAACAGTTTCGCGCGCATGCAAATGCCGTAGTGAGATTGACCACTACGTTCTGACCACTACGTAGTGAGACCACTATTGACCACTACGTAGTGAGATTGACGATTTAAGTGTGGCCATCGCGAAGCATCGAATAGCGGCATCTGCAGCGTCATTCCGCGCCTCACCGGCGCTACAGCGCAAACATCTGTGCATGATAGAGTCTGCAGCCTGAGCCGAGGGCAGGTGAAACCGAAGATGCTACCCTGCCAACGGTCGCGTTATGCGGGGTAAAACAGCACGTGGCAGAAGGCTTTAAAGGCCTGTCGATTGTGTCGAAAGGCCTGTCGATTGTGGAGGTCAAAAGTGTCAAAAATTGTGTCAAAAGGTCGCGTTACGGAGGCCAGTTCGCTTACTGCCGATTAGTATTATTTTATTGTCATGTATTATCATTATTATTTGTTATTCTAATTATTAGGATTATTTATTATTATTATTTTATTTTTATTATTATTTTAAGCCCTCGCGAACGAGAGTGATGCGTTCCCTTCCTGTCGCTGACCTGACTGCAGAGCTGGCGGTGTTCTTCGCGCCGTCCAGCTGCTGGTGTTGGGTAGCGCTGCACCACATGGTCAGGCAGCCAGCGAAACGTGATTTGGCATCCCCCGTACACGGTGGAAAGGTGTGTGTTCACGATGACCCGAAAAAGCTGCCGTTGTGGAGTTCGTTTGGAAGCGATGGAGGGACGGGTGTGCGCGGCCGGCCGCTGCTTTGGCTTGGCTCGGGCGGTCAGTTGTTCACGGGCAGCACGCCAGCAGAGCGTGAGGCACGTGAGTGAACGTGAGACTGGAATATGAGGCTGTGCTTCGGAGGGGTGGTGTGAGACGAGTCTGGTTGTCAGACCAGACTAGTTGCATTTGAGCCCCCATATCGTTGTCAGACCAGACTGGACGCACTGAGAACCCCTGACATTGTCAGACCAGACTAGATGCACCGGGACCCTCCCTAACATTGTCAGACCAGACTAGACAGATTAGGCCGTGCTGCCGTTTTCAGACCAGATTAGACGCACTGGGACCTCCCTGACATTGTCAGACTGGACTAGATGCACTTGGGCTTCTCTGTCATTGTGAGACCAGACTATACTTACTGGGGTCTCCCTGCCATTGTCAGGTCAGACGAGACGCACTGGGGCTTTCCTGCCATGGTCAGACCAGACTAGACACGCTAGAGCCTCCTTGCCATTTTCAGACCAGACTAGACACACTGGGGCCTCCGAGCCTCCCGTCCCTGTCCCCTTCTGGATGGCATTGACCTTGACCTGGCGCCGCCGCAGGGGAGGAGGTGCGGTTCCGCGTGGCCGCCGAGACGTTCACGGACACGACGCCAGCCGGGCCAGAGCTGACCACAGCGGACCCGGCCGCCCCCGCCGCCGATCCGGCGCAGACGCAGCAGCGCAAGACGCCCTATGTCATCACGGTACGCCCCCCCCCCCCCCTCCCCCATCAGCTTAGGCTGTGTGCAGCTCGAGGGCTACCCCGTCGTCCCCGCAGCTCAATTGGTGCAGCACCGGGGATGGGGACGCTGGGTACCATGCGACGTCGAATTGTAAGTCATAGTTTCGGCATGTTTTTTTGTAGCTGCTCACTGGCGGTAGGTCACTTGTTAGCCGGTAGTGCCGGATGACCTATCGTTGACCAGGAGGGCCACGAGGGTGTTTGTTGGCCGGATACATTGAGACTCGGAGTTATCAATAGCTTTTTGGTTGGAGTGTTGCGTGAAAAGTTCTCGCGTAGCGCCCGAATTTTGTGGATGTTGAGCCGCAGTTTGAGGGTCGGGTCAGTGGCGTGCACAGAGATTGTTAGCATGCGCCGTGTCTGCCGTCCAAGGCAAAAAGGCCTAAGAGCTATTACCTAACATAGAACTCAAACCTTTTGCCTCTGGAAGACATTGTCGTTTCGCCGCCGCCACAGCCGACCTCCCAGGTCCCCGCCGCTGATCTGACCTCGCGTTGCCGCAGGCGACCATCAACGAGCCGGGCCTGGGTCTGCTCTCCTGGTGGTCCAACCTCGGCTGACCTGACCCGGGCTAGCCTGACCTCGGCTGGTCTGACCCCGGCTGGCCTGACCTCGGCTGACCTGGCCTCGGCTGGTCTGACCTCGGCTGACCTGACCTCGGCTGGTCTGATCTCGGCTGACCTGACCTCGGCTGACCTGACCTCGGCTGGTCTGACCTCGGCTGACCTGATCTCGGCTGACCTGACCTCGGCTGACCTGACCTCGGCTGGTTTGACCTCGGGTGGCCTGACCTCGGCTGGTCTGACCTCGGCTGGCCTGACCTCGGCTGGTCTGACCTCGTCTGGCCTGACCTCGGCTGGTCTGATCTCGGCTGACCTGACCTCGGCTGACCTGACCTCGGCTGACCTGAACCCAGCCGGCGGGAGCCGTCCGCGGGCGTCTCATGATCCGGAGTCGGGGACTGCCCGTCAGGAGCCGGCCCACTGAGCCCGGCGAGATGTCGCGCCAAGACCGACACCTCAGCGGCTGCACAGCTGACCGGAGGGGGAGGGGGGGCGGTGGCTGATCACGCTCGAGTGTATGCAGTGACCTCAGGTCGGCCCCCAGCTGGCATGTCGTGCGCTGACCTGACCCCAGTCGGGGCTCCAGTGCACGGACGTCACGTGAGGCTGTGGACGAGCGAGGTCTCCGGTCTCGCGCGGCGCGTTACCTCGGCGCCCTGACGTCCCGTTGACTGTGAACGCGCGTCGTTGGGACATCGGCGTGTGTGCTGTGCTTTTGGCACCCTTTCCCACGTGGTGGGTTCGTCGCGTCATTACAGCGTCACGCACTCCGGGCCGGGCAGCAGGTCCACCAGCAAGATAGGCGAATTCGTGCGCGGGCTGATACTGCGTGGCCCTGTTGAAGTGTTTTGTTGTGGATATGTCGCCGTACGAGCGAGGTGAACGCGTCCCATGACGGCTGGATTGAGTTATACGGTTTGATATATAAGTATTGATTGATTTTTAGTGATATAGATGGATAAGAAGTTGGCTCAAGAGAACCTGGAATAAAAGCGACATGTTTTATTTTTATATTAGGAAAAGCACCCTGGGCGCAGTTCCTGCGAGAAACAAGCAGTGTATGTCGCTTTTGAATTAAATGTCGCCGACATTTCCTCGAGGAGCAAGTCACAGGTTATGAAATACCTGGGTCAGAAACTTCTCATTGACACCTAATTTGTTTTAAAAATGCATACTCAGGTACCCTAAGAGTCAGCGCTCCGGCTGACGGGGCGGCCGGTGACCGTTCAGAGGATATGCCGGAAAATGTCTTGGACCCCCTCAGAAGCTCTCCCGTCGTGAGGCGATGCCTAACGCTCCCGTGGTGTGGCGTACGCCTGAAGGGGTCTGGTGTTCTTGCTCTCATTATGGTTCTCCTGCGAGGACCTCGCCCCTTGGACAAACCCTTACGTTGCAGCGCCTTGAGCCCTCTCCACGCGACTTCGGCACCAACAGCGGGAAAAATTGTGTAACTTTATTCGAAGGCACTGCCACTCGGGCTTTGGTTATGACACTAACGCAGGGGTTCTGCTTTGCAGCATGCAGCCCTTCTGCCGCGCTAAGACAAACAGACAACTTGTCTCCCTCTCAGCGAACGCGGCATGCGCACTTGAACGAAGCAGAGCTGCTGATAAGGTCGCTATCTCCACCCGAGGCACTGTATGAAAGACCGTACAATCCACGCCGATAAGGCGATCGTTTCGTCTAATACGGCACTCACGGCCTTACGAGTCACAAACGAGTAATAACTTACCAGTCAAAGCATGCTGTCTGTGCAAAGTCGGAACCAATAGGCCGACGCGTACATTCATCAGCGGAATCAGACTGCGTCCGGCGTACCTATTGGCTGCGGAGACGTCACGTGACGTCACCACGGGATGGTGCACGCAATATGCGGTGGGCTATGCATGACACCGTACAGCGGTATAAAATCTCCAGATGGAGAGTTAATCAACTAAAATGTTACACACTAACGTCGTTCTCTGAGATAGAAGGCAGCAGCTTCGTCCCGTTTTGCGCCTGTGGATGTCGCTCTGTCGGCCATCCAGCCGAATCCGTCTGCTTCATTTGCACTGCACTAGTGTCTGTTAAGGGGCTCCACCGGCCCACTCCGCGCTCCACGCCCCACACCAAGGCTCGCGCGCACACGCCGCGCCGGCCGACGTCGGGACCGGCAGCGAGTCTCGGGACCAGATCGCCGCGACTCACTCGACTCCCGACTCTCGTGCGTGCCGAGCGAGCGCTCGACTCTTGACTGTCGGGGTAGCTCCGGTCACCCGCGCGCAGGGGTGGGCGTCCCGACCCGCCGAGCACCGGCTGACGCAGCCGGCAGCGGCGTACCCTCCGGTGCCAGTGAGAGCAGGTGGCTCTGGGAATCACCTCAGCACCGCTCCGCCAGAAAGCGGCGCGCCTCGCGCCTGGAGCCGTCACAGGCACTGACCACGCTGCTGTGGAGAACACCTGGCGACAGCGGCGCCCGAGGCGTTTCCAAGCGCGCGCCGAGCGGGCCACCGCTCACGCCAGGTGAGCGAGAATGGCTGCGAACCTTACGGCGGCCTGTCTACGGCTGGCGGGACGGATGGTCTGTCGCGCTCTCTGGCCCTCTAGCGGGACGGGCAGACGGCGTCGCCCGAGCAACGGCGTGCCCAGGCGCTGAAGGCGAGGCCCGCGCGGCGCTACGCGAGGTCCGAGCCGGCTTCGCCACACAGCGAGGCGTGCACTGCGCGGCGGATTAGTTATAGATGGCACTAGCGTCGAGGAGGCGCCGCGGGCGAGGTGAGAGAGCGTCTCGCTGCGACCGCTTGTGGCGCCCCTGGCGGTGTCAACCGGCATTGCTGGTGTCACCAGCCTTCGGAAGACTGCAAATGGTCCATCTGCTCCCACACGCACAGCTGTAACGAGAGCAACAGTCGCTGTAATGACAACAACCCTGGTAAAGCGGGCCAGAGCGCCCCCGCAGACGCACGGGCAGCAGCAAGGGATGCAGAACGAAAACATACACTGTCGGTACAGCAGAGGCATGTTCATTTGATGACGTCCGTGACACGGCCAGGCGTGCCCGTTGCTGCACGTTTTGCTCGTTCCTGGGTCGACGAACTCGCAATGGAACGCGCAGCAGCAGTGACCATTCAGCTGTAATGGCTAACATTCCGGGCGCACGCTGTATATGTTGAGGTTCCGGCTTATCAAACCCATAAAGACGACGAAAAACAGCGATGCGCCACAGGATCACGCAATGTAAGAGGATCAAAGGAGTACAATAGTGGGATATATGTCACATGATCTTATCCGGTTCGGTGGGATCCCAAGGTGGCGAGCACGCATGTCAGAGTCCGCTCGCATAAATCTTTTGCAGATCTTACGCAACACCCGTGCTGGTGCCAGCTCTTTAGTTCGGAATGCTTGCCTCAATCTGTTTTAGCTCTTGACTTGTTGGCAGGCTTGGTTTCAGCTCGTGTCTAGGGCGTTGCACAACAAACACGTCGTTCCGTGTCAGATACCGCGGTCGCCACGATCACCACAGAGTCACGCGGGAAGGCGTGACCGTCCCGCCTGAGGGTTGCGGGGGCACCCCTTCCGCGGCCCCGGGAACGCGCCGCCCTGGCAGCGTCAGCAGGCGTGACCGCAGTCCGTCCTCAGCGCCCAGTCGGGCGGGGAGAGTGCCGCCGCCCCGGGCGGAAAGCAGCAGGGGGCGCGGGGGAGACGCGGGCTGTGGAGCGGCAGAGGCTATCTTGCTGCCAAGCGGGGGAGACGCGGGCTGGGGAACGGCAGAGGCCACCTCGCTGCTTCTCGGACGGGGAGCGCCGGCTGGGGAGCGGCAGAGGCTAGATCGCGGCTCCACATATCGCAACAACGGCCGCCATTTTAACACTGCCGAGTCACCTGCACAAACGCACTTGTACCATTTAATCCCGCAACGCGACATCCGGTGCGTTTACTGTTCAGGCAAGCCTAAATGTAAACGTAAAGCCTTTGCCATCATTTGTCACCACTTTTTTCCCCTGATAGATGTCTGGCCACGCTATAGTCTTGGAAGCCCTCAAAATATGAAGTGATAGGGGCCGGTTCCTTTCGTTTGCACTAAGACCTTTACAAATTGATCGTAGCTCATCTTACTGAGTCAGTGTTATTCCAGACCATTTCCACGAGCTCACCGGTTCGTACAATCAGGCGTGCAACGACGCCTGCCGAGACGAGCAGACGAGATGCTAGACACTAGACACTGAATGAGATGAGGGAAAGATGCTGCATGCTAGACAGGACCTTACAAAATTTCAGGTTGAATGATAAGTGTTATCAGGTTACCATCGAAGCAAAAATACCGATGCACTACAACTGCGGGAAACCAATTGTTTTATATTCATATCAGTGCAAAGGGAACGACGGGTTGCCTTTCAGCTGGCAGCTAGCTTGCAATTGACTTAAAGGCAAATAAGATTTCCATTCATCGCACTGATAACCGGCATTTGAATACTGTGAGCGGTATCCTGCTTCGCGTCAGCTTATAACGTTGTACGAAGCTTCTAAATAAAAAGGTCTTAAGCGCATGAAATTGCACAGACAGAACATGCCGAATAGTCCACGTGCATAAACGTTGGATATATATATATATATATATATATATATATATATATATATATATATATATATATTGGGAATGAGATTGAGTTAGGCAATAATAGGACTGGTCCAGACATAACATGGTAATAGGTCAGCAAACGGAACCGCATTTGATAAAGCGAAGTTATCGACATGCGAGATTGCAAGATCGTAAAGCCCGATAGTTTATAAGGCAAGCTGACCCAATTTGCGTGGCCAACGCGCAATACCTCGGTAACAGTGGGGACACGGTAGGCAGTCGGCGCTGCTCGAGTGGAGTGCCTCGATAACACACGTTTGTGGACCCACTTGAACACACGCCGCCGACGGCACTTCACGGTACACCAATGTGCAGACTGCGGAGACCTGGTCCCCAACGCCGGACATCTCGCAGCCGATTCCGCAGGCCATCGCAACCGTTCGCAGCCATTGCAGCCCATTCGCAACCGTTTCGCAGCCAATGGTCGTCGGAAATGGCCGAAAA